ATGCCACCAGGGGGCAGCATCTGTTAGCTGAATAATATGTAACCTTAGCGTAAACAAACAGTAAGTGGAGGGACACGTCTTCTAATAGGACCTCACCAGTAGAAAGGGTTTCCATTTCTAGTGTGAGGGGCTCCAGTGAAAACTACCAGAAATGTGTTGTCCCCGACCCTGAGCTTTGCAATAAATGAACCAGCCAACACCATCAACATAAGGTCCAACCAGCACAGACCACAGTCACCATTCATCATGCAAAAGGCCTCTGTAATGCTGTGCAGGTGCAAAAAAGAAAGTCAGTTAATATGTTAATGTCAGTCTGTGGGTACTGTGTCTCCAGCAGGAAGCCAGATAGCTATAGAAAGATTTCTCAGACCAAGCCTATAATTGTATTTCACAGAAAGACAACTACATTAAAGTACAGTAGTCCCATATAATCACAGCAGTTAGAGCTTAAGACTCCTGTTATGTGTATTTAAGAGCCAACTGAGGCAAAGTATAACCTGTTTCCAGAAAACCAGCTTTGAAAAGTATAACACTGAGAAACAACAAATGGGCATGGGAACAGGCAAACCACAAAACCTGCTCTTGGAAAACTTGCATGTTTAGGACTGTAACAAAACAGAGCATGACATCATCTCCAGCTGTGATCCAACACTCCTTTAATTATATTGTTCAGTTCCAAAGGTCTCATTCAATTGGCAAATGAATCCTTCTGGCGGCTTTGGAAACAAATTTTTTTTGTCTTGTATCACAGTGATTTTTATTTTCAGTCTCTTATGCAGCTAAAAGACTGACTCACCTTTAAATGCAGGGAACATCGGTGCCATGTTGCTTGTAATTAAAGAGTCTGTCTTCGGCCCATCAGCACTCAGATCTACAAAATGAGAGATGGAGAAGAAGAGAATCTGACTAAGAGATTCGGGAATAAAGATTCGCTGGCTAAAACTAACTTACTGGAGATAAACACAAAGAGGAAAATTTATTTAGGGCTCCAGCTAATATTTAGTTAAATCTTTGATTAATTACCTAAAAACATGTCTTTTTATTTTGAAAAATGTCCATCATATTTTCTTTTTTGTGGCAGCATGGGTGCATTTTACATGAGAATGTGCCTGTGAAATATGTCAACTTGTATCCAACACCCAGCTGTGGACGACGAGCTGTGAGTCCCACTACCACACACACACACACACTCACACTCACTCACAGGGGGGATGCAGCAGGCCATAGGACAGAGCAGGGCTGTCTCTGTAGCGACGACACCGCTGGCTGGCGGCCGGTGGGATGCGTACGTCAGCATGAACACACGCCTCCAACTCTGGGCTCAGGGGTTGGGCTCTGGTCTGAGAGAGAGCAACAGTCAGTGGTGGGCAGTGCAGAGCAGGACTCCAGACTGTTGCATAAGATCGCTTGGCTTTGTTTTGTTTTGCCTGTGTATGTGGGTCAGCGAGGGCAGAGCACCGTCTCTGTTTGTAGAAAAAGATCTCACGCCGCTGTTCTAGCAGAAAATGTGAATTGGTTTGGAATAAAATGTGCAGAGTTTAGAATTTTTAGGAATACTGCATAATTTGGTTCTAATCATGGGAAACGTGTATACTTTTAGAGAACACCGTGACCAGTAGAGGGGAAAAAGTGAAAGGTTTTGTTCCAGCAATAAGAAATCTCCATTCAAAATCCCATTGACATCTTGAACTATGCTCATAAAAATAACTAAAGCCACAGCCTTTTGCACCAGGACGCCCCCGTGTAATTTTTTTTTAAACACATTCTAATGTAGTTGGCCATTCATTATTTCTGATTTTAGTGCATTTTAGCAAACACCATTACTTACAGACTTTTAACATTCAGAGACTTGTATCAAATGAGAGACTGCAGTTACAGAAACTGGTGGAGCAGAGAAACAATGAAGAATTATCTTTCAAGGACATTCCCATTTTCCTAAAAGTCCCACCAATTATTATCAAACATATACGAAAATTCAGGCTTGGTAAAATAAAGTATTGCCAAATTTTCACTCCATGATTACAGGCAGGAAAAATGCAGCGCATTTAAAACATCATCTATGTCCAAATTTTGAAATGCAAGCCTTCTCTAAAGCATGGCGGCATTCATTTTGTAATTAAGTTAAAGCTTTTTATGAAGATGTTAACTTTGAAAAGCTTTTGTGGGCGTGCTAGTTTGTTGTAACTGTAATGTTATGTTGTGACAGAGGTTAAAAAATATTGGTGCCTAAAGGGAAAACAAACTGTCTCCTAAATCTTCCCTCTAAAAAAAAAATGTATAAATGCAAAGAAAATAAAATTATACTCACTGGAATTGATGGCCAAGAGACGTCTATTCATCTCTGTTTCCTGGAAATAAATTTACACCTCTTGTCAATATCAAACTGGTTCAGGCACATGATCCTAAAACTAACACAATGAGACAGAGTCTACAGCTGTTCATTCAGTTGTTGTCGAGACATTTTACTCTGCAAACCACAAGTGTCAACCTCATGGTGGCACCACAGGAAAAAGGTCTGAACCATGAACATTTGCACATAATTTCATGCCAATCCATTTGATGTGTAAGATGTTGGACAAAACAAAGTCAGTACGATGCATCCTCTGGTGACCATGAATGTTCTAAACTTGATGCCAACAGGCGCAATAGCTCATGCGATATGTCAGTCTGGACTAAGGTGATGGAAGACCAACTGGCCTTTCCCTCCCTAGACCTAGCATGACAACAGTGCGGCTAAAAACAAACGCATGACCTCCTTAACTTGTTGGCACATACCATTGCCTCGGTTTGTGATGTACAATTGCACTGCAGGTTGTCGGTGGGGGTGGGGCCACTGGCCTCACAGGGGGTACTGTGGGAGAGCGGTGCTGGGTGAACTGGCTGGTGGAAGGGATGCTTCAGGAGGTGGTTCAGGCTGCCATGAGTCCCATTATTTGGGGCAGGACGAATACCAAGGAGATCTGGAAGAGACAGAGAGAAAGACTAAAATACACTTCACATGCTATAAAGGACAGTACAGCCACACACACAGGGAATAACTTCTTATCAAAGGAGAATTACCGTCTGGCTTTCCTATCAGGTTCGGTAACATTCTGTTCACTAGGTTAGCTGTGGATTCAATGATCCCACTCGACATAGCTTAGCAAAGTATTTACTTAGGGCAAGAAGCATGAACTTCCTGTTCGCTCAGGCAGTTCTGATAAACTGCTTTCTATCTCAAAATTCTGACTTTCTTTTGAAATCTGGTTCATGTGGCTACCTTTCCTACCCGCAGTATTTTTAAGGCAGCAAGATAAGCACGCCTGTTTCCTCTTCTGAACTGTCAACTGTGCTGGTGGGTCATGAAACATGATCAGATCTTCACCAAATTCACTTTGTATGTTTAATGGCTGCGTCCACTGAAGACATGAAAGATCATGACTGTTCGTGTTTTAGCAGCTTAGACACTGTGTTGGCTGATATTTGTGACTTTGGTGTCAGTCTGTGGGTACTGTGTCTCCAGCAGGAAGCCAGATAGCTATAGAAAGATTTCTCAGACCAAGCCTATAATTGTATTTCACAGAAAGACAACTACATTAAAGTACAGTAGTCCCATATAATCACAGCAGTTAGAGCTTAAGACTCCTGTTATGTGTATTTAAGAGCCAACTGAGGCAAAGTATAACCTGTTTCCAGAAAACCAGCTTTGAAAAGTATAACACTGAGAAACAACAAATGGGCATGGGAACAGGCAAACCACAAAACCTGCTCTTGGAAAACTTGCATGTTTAGGACTGTAACAAAACAGAGCATGACATCATCTCCAGCTGTGATCCAACACTCCTTTAATTATATTGTTCAGTTCCAAAGGTCTCATTCAATTGGCAAATGAATCCTTCTGGCGGCTTTGGAAACAAATTTTTTTTGTCTTGTATCACAGTGATTTTTATTTTCAGTCTCTTATGCAGCTAAAAGACTGACTCACCTTTAAATGCAGGGAACATCGGTGCCATGTTGCTTGTAATTAAAGAGTCTGTCTTCGGCCCATCAGCACTCAGATCTACAAAATGAGAGATGGAGAAGAAGAGAATCTGACTAAGAGATTCGGGAATAAAGATTCGCTGGCTAAAACTAACTTACTGGAGATAAACACAAAGAGGAAAATTTATTTAGGGCTCCAGCTAATATTTAGTTAAATCTTTGATTAATTACCTAAAAACATGTCTTTTTATTTTGAAAAATGTCCATCATATTTTCTTTTTTGTGGCAGCATGGGTGCATTTTACATGAGAATGTGCCTGTGAAATATGTCAACTTGTATCCAACACCCAGCTGTGGACGACGAGCTGTGAGTCCCACTACCACACACACACACACACTCACACTCATCATTACTTTTTCCTGTGATTGTATTAAAAATAAGATGCACTGTAAACATAAGATCAGTGGACACAGTTTGTCCATAAATGAAGGTCAAATAACAGTATCACAATATTGGCTTTACAAAACCAGGACTTCTGAACTTTAAATTAAACTTGTTGCTTTACACTTGGTATTCAGTGTTTCTGGAAACAACCAAATAGTAGAATTAACAGCTAAGGTAAATAATAAACTGTTTCAGCTGAGGAGAACATAGTAAAGGTACAGCATGCTCTAAAAAGCAACTTACCACATAATAGGTTATATAGTTCAATGTTTTCAAAAGGAGGCACAACAGTGTTGTTTTTAAATCCTGAACCATAGCCAATGAAGATTGCCTGGGGGTGGAAAAAAAAAAAAAAATAAAAATCAGATACACATTAACATATTGATCTTCATTCATTTATTTGGACAGCTGAGAGAGGAGAGTGACAAACAACATCGTTCAAAGGTTTGTGAGCTACAAACCTACATTTAAACTCTCAGTAAATAAGATGTCACACACTCAGCTCCAGGGTTAGGGTCATGGGTAAATATTTGAAATGAGCTAAAGCAGGAAAATGGCCTTACATAACCCTGAAGCTGTAAAATAAGGATTTCAGTTCACCCAGAAAGAGACTGGCTGGGTGAGTGCTGTTGATTTTCTCTGCTATGTGTCAGCAGGCTGAAAGCCATTGACTTTTCTTGAGTCACAGTTTTAAAGCCCCTCCTTGAACCGCCACCTTAGGGGGGATGCAGCAGGCCATAGGACAGAGCAGGGCTGTCTCTGTAGCGACGACACCGCTGGCTGGCGGCCGGTGGGATGCGTACGTCAGCATGAACACACGCCTCCAACTCTGGGCTCAGGGGTTGGGCTCTGGTCTGAGAGAGAGCAACAGTCAGTGGTGGGCAGTGCAGAGCAGGACTCCAGACTGTTGCATAAGATCGCTTGGCTTTGTTTTGTTTTGCCTGTGTATGTGGGTCAGCGAGGGCAGAGCACCGTCTCTGTTTGTAGAAAAAGATCTCACGCCGCTGTTCTAGCAGAAAATGTGAATTGGTTTGGAATAAAATGTGCAGAGTTTAGAATTTTTAGGAATACTGCATAATTTGGTTCTAATCATGGGAAACGTGTATACTTTTAGAGAACACCGTGACCAGTAGAGGGGAAAAAGTGAAAGGTTTTGTTCCAGCAATAAGAAATCTCCATTCAAAATCCCATTGACATCTTGAACTATGCTCATAAAAATAACTAAAGCCACAGCCTTTTGCACCAGGACGCCCCCGTGTAATTTTTTTTTAAACACATTCTAATGTAGTTGGCCATTCATTATTTCTGATTTTAGTGCATTTTAGCAAACACCATTACTTACAGACTTTTAACATTCAGAGACTTGTATCAAATGAGAGACTGCAGTTACAGAAACTGGTGGAGCAGAGAAACAATGAAGAATTATCTTTCAAGGACATTCCCATTTTCCTAAAAGTCCCACCAATTATTATCAAACATATACGAAAATTCAGGCTTGGTAAAATAAAGTATTGCCAAATTTTCACTCCATGATTACAGGCAGGAAAAATGCAGCGCATTTAAAACATCATCTATGTCCAAATTTTGAAATGCAAGCCTTCTCTAAAGCATGGCGGCATTCATTTTGTAATTAAGTTAAAGCTTTTTATGAAGATGTTAACTTTGAAAAGCTTTTGTGGGCGTGCTAGTTTGTTGTAACTGTAATGTTATGTTGTGACAGAGGTTAAAAAATAATTGGCACAGAATCACTCTGATTTACACTAAAGCTTAACTGATTGAACTGTTTGAGCAAACATGAGCAGAGAAGAGGAGTAACATCTGCTGTGAGGCAAGAGTCAGATACTAAACAGTCTCTTATAGTCTGCTGCCAAACCCTAACCCCAGAAGAAATATAGCTGGGATGTCCAAACAGTGGACTCACCAGAGGCTGGACAGTGTACGACACCCAGAGGGGCATGAGGCGGTCTTTACTGTATCCGTTGAGGTAGTCAGAGTGGTGGAGCAGACAAAAGGTGGCGTCTGGTTGGACAACTTGAGGAA